GCCGAACGTAGCTCTAACCGAACCTCGCACAAGTGTGTGTATACCTCAAAAAGGTCTTTTTAAGGGTTGTAACGTGGTTAGGCTAAAGGTTGAAGAAGAAGGGGATAAAGGCTTAAGATCCTAGATAAGCCCCCAAGGTGTGCAACCTTGCTTTTGAATCTTTATATTTTTATGCTTGAGGCTTTACTCGTTTTTTTTAGCTCACTTTTATCTTTTGCTTTAGCATCTATTTTATTTTTATAAGTGTGGGCAATCCCGATCATGCGGTCTATATCTCACTTGGCATTCATGTTTCTCAGGCACAGTACCGAGCACTCGATAAGAGACGTAATCTGAGACGTGTTCATATCAAAGACATTTTCATATCAAAGACATTGGAACACTTACTCTTTTGTACACTTTTATTATTTTTTATTGCTTATTTATTTATTTTGATCTTTTGAAATCACTCAAGGCTTTTTTTTTTTTTTTTTAAATTGCATAAGTTGCACACTGCCCCATCCCAAGGTTAGGTAGATATAGGTTGAAAAAAAGAAAGGTCTATCGTTAGACGAGGCTCAAAGTGGTTTATAAAGAAAGGATTGTGAATTTGAAAGGTGAAAGGAGATATGGTGTGGCTACAAGGGGTGCCTTAAATCATCGGTATACCTTGTGCTTAATTCAACATGGATTTTTTTTAATGCAATATAATGAAATGATCATATATAAGGAAATAAATGTTCATTTTATTAAAAGAAAATATATAATGATCCTACAAAATAAATCTAAGGAGAATAAAAAGGTGCCTATGCTAGACTTATTGGGGAAAGGGTAAATAAAAAAAGAAATAGAAAAAAGAGGTCACGAAATCTTGTCGTTGAAGCTCGCCTCTTGTCTTGTGTTGTTTCCTTTATCATCACTCGCTCTTCTTGTTAACTGGAGGCATGGGAAGCTTGTTATTATCAATCAAATGTTGGATAGCCTCCTTTAGTTTCCAACAGCTCTCAGTAGTATGACCCCTACCTTGATGGTACTTGCAGTGTTCGTCTGGATTCTAACTAGGCAATCTCTTTTCAGGTGCGGGATCTTGAATAGGTCCAATGGGACTAATGAGTCCTTTGGCATGGAGTCGATCGAAGGCAGTATCGTAGCTCATCCCAATGGGGGTGAAGTCTTTCCTTAATTGCTTCTTAGATCCTTGGTTATCCATGGCTAAAACTTCACTAAGATCGAAGGTACTAACATTGTTACTAGAGTGGGCGTTTTTGAAAGAAGAAGGATTGTCGTTCTTCTTTCCTTTCCAGCCACCGGGTTACTATTGTTAGTAGCTTTTTTCTTTGCGAGGTCATCTTCGATTTCAATTCTGATGTCATAAACGGCCTTGAAAGTATTCAGATTGTGTTGATACTTTAGATGCTTCGAATACTTCTCTTGGAGATTCTTGATAAACATCCTCACATATTCTTTTTCAGTGGGCACCTCAATCATCTTGGCGGAAGTTTCCCTCCATTTATTAAAGAAAGAAGTAAAGCCTTCATTCTCTTTTTGTCTTAGCATCTCAAGTTGTCTATGGTCGGTTTAAACTTGAATATTTCACTTGTACCTATCAACGAAAGCGTTTACTATCGATTCCCAGGTAGAGGTTTTCTCTTTGTCAAGGGAGAAGTACCATTGTTGGCAAACGGTTTCAAGAGATAGTGAGAACAAAGAGGGGAAAACCTTCTTATCGATGCCCTTAATGTTCATTATAGTTTCGAAAGCTCTTAGATGAAAGTAAGGGTTATCTGTTGCCTTAAATTTAGGGATGTCAGTGGTGTTGAACTTATGAGGAAGAAGTTCCTTGTCCAGCGAGACCCCTTGTGAACTCATGCCCTGAAATTTATAGTCACTAGATAGCTTTCTCAAGCTTTCTTGCATGAGGTTCATTTGTTGTTGCTTCACGGGATCATCGACCTTAAGTGTGAGGAGCTTTAGTGTTTCAGTCATGGTAACCAGTTGGTTCCTAAGCTCATTGACTTCTTCTTGAGTTGCCATTATCTTTTTAGCCTTCCTCTTTTGACGAATCGGTTTATCGAAAAGTGAAACTTGAATAAAGAGGTTGTCCTTGATTAATCGCCCTTCTCTCCTTGACCAAGTACTGTGGAAAAGGAATTTGGGGATATTCATTGTTAATTATTTGACTCAAACTCTATTCAACATGTAATGGATGGAGGAAGTGAAGAAAGATGGAAGAATGTGAAGAAAAATGATATAGATGGAGGGATATGAAAAACTAGGAATAGAATGTACCCCCCAACTCAAATGACGGAAAAGACCGACTCATGCATGAACCTAAGACATGGTCATGGTGACATATACTCAAAGTGCGTGCTAAGATTAGTGAGTGTAGGTGACATGTTAAGACTCGTGTCATGACCATGTGGCTAGACTATGTGACTAGACTCATTTAATGACTCGACAAGGCATTATTGACAGCGAAAACTAACCGACTTAATTAGCAAACTGGTTGATTAGACACTAGGTGATGACTCGACCAATAATCCGAATTGTCGGCCAAGCGACAGGACTGGCGTCACACTGTGTAGCTTGGCGCCAGACGACAGAGCTGTCGCTTTGCGCCACACTCCACATGGTGGCGCTACAGTCTATATTTTGGCGCCAATACTAAAGCTTCAATCTGGGACTGTTTTCGGTGTTATTAATCAGCTGGAGTATGCCTAAAGTCGTACTAGGTCAATTCTGATTAAAATATTAGACTTTATTGACTCAAATTAATTAATTAATTAATTAATTAATTAGGAAAAGTTCTTTAAGTCATTAATTTATTTAATCTCAACACAAGTCAAACAAACGGTTAAGAGAAACATAGAATATATGCACAACAAATAATGCACAATTAGTCAAGTAGGCACAATATGATGCAATGAGTTTGCAACCTAACCATGGCTCTAGTTCTCTAAAGTTCGGGATATGGTTTAGTCAATAGAGGGTCCATGGTTAATTATCCGGATGCACCGTGCGAAAGCCTAACCCTGAAGGGTTGGCGGAAGTGGATGGGACACCGCGAGCTTTAGAAAAAACTCGCTTCCATGGTTTGGTGAATTCAACATTCTCGGATGTACGCTTTGTTGCACAGAGCGTTCAATTAGGTAGATGGAGCATGAATTCCCAAAGGGTTATGTCCATACATAGAACACTTACGGGTTTCAGAAAAGTGAGAAAAAATTCAATCAGGAAGTAGGATCGAGCAAACAATACGAAAAACTGGTCGAAATTAGAACGCATATTTCTGGCTCGGTATTGGGGGAAGTTGGCGCCAGCAAACAGAGACTGGCGCCAGTTTTTAGTTGTAGCGCCTGGCGCCAGGCGTCTAGCGCTACAGTTAAAAGTCTGGCGCCAATACTCTGGCCCCTGGCGCTAATTCCCACATGCCTCAGCAGCTTTCTGTGCTCGATAAAATTTTCCAGTTTCGCGCGGTGTTATTTCGGTCCTAGTTGTGAAAGATATTTCTCAAATTTCCTACGTGTAAAATCCTATGTTTTTCACTCATTACGGATAGTCTTTCCAATGAGATCTTTTGTATGCATATGACAATAATGTTAATCAAAATTACGCACATGAAATACTTAGAACGTTTCGAGTCTCATCCACTCATTCTAAATCATTGCCGAAACAAATTCAGGAATTAAAATAGAAATCCTCCCCAGCGGAGTCGCAAAAAACTATAAGGAATATTTCAAGCGTTAAACCCAAAGCTTGAACCCCACTGTGATCATACACTAAAGTACGGTGGCGTCCAAAGGGAAAGAAGATAGAGCAAAAGAGTCGCCAACAAGTTTTAAGAACTTGTAAACCGTTCACAGGGTGAAGGTTACACCCCTTAACGATCCAAAAGATCATCAACTCCATAAGGTCTTGAACCAAATAAGGGTTCGGGGATGAAGGTACAAATCCAACCTAAAAGAGGTTGAACAGAGAGAAAAGAAAAGAAATTAAAACTATCCGCAACACTAAACTTTCCACACTTTCACTTCATTTGATTTTGGTTCGACGTGAAAGGTACTCATCACCGGGTTTGGTTTTGGGGAGACACAAATGGGTGTCTACACTATCCATCCTACAGATCATGCCAATGCAATCACTTTAAGGAGGGTTCACATTATGATGGACCTCCTATGCCAAAGGGAGATAGACCAGTTCCTGATCTAGATTCCGCTATACCATACGCTAATCATGCTAGCCCTGCAGGGCTACAAATAGATACTAACTTTACTAATGTTTCTGTGCAGGGTAAATCGCAGGATAGGGGAGGAGATGTGCAGAGCCCGGTTATCAAACTTCCATTCCCTAATAGACAACTGAAGAGTAAGCTTGATAAACAATTCGGTAAGTTTTTAGAGGTTGTGAAAAACCTGCAGGTAACAGTTCCTTTACTGACTTAATCACTCAAGTTCCTGCTTATGCTAAATTTATGAAAGACATTCTGACTAGGAAAAGGGCCTTTAATGAAGTAGAAAATGTAGCTTTCGCAGAGGAGTGTAGCGCTTTATTGCAAAAAAAATCCCCTCCTAAATTAAAGGATCCTGGTAGTTTTTCTATCCCTTGTCATATAGGGAATGTTTTTATTGATAAAGCTTTGTGTGATTTGGGTGCTAGGTCAGTGTCATGACATCGTCTATCTGTGCTAAACTTAATACGGGAGAATTAAAAGTTACTGATATAACTTTGCAAATGGCAGATCGTTCGGTAAAATACCCCTTAGGTATTTAGAGGACGTCCCTGTCAGAGTTGGTAAATTTTTTATTCATGTTGATTTTGTTGTGTTAGACATGGCAGAGGATACACAAATACCCATTATCTTAGGTAGGCCTTTTCTCCATACTGAAGGAGCAATTATTGATGTTAAAAATGGTAAACTAACCCTTTCTGTAGCTGACGACAATGTTACTTTTAATTTAGGGAAGGTTTTGAAAGGGCCTATGCTAGAGGAGAATTGTTTCTATATTGATGTAATTGATATAATGGATGATATTTGTGATGATAGCTTGCCACAAGTTCTTGCGAAGGATTCCCTAAAGGAAGTTCTCTGCGAAAATTTATCTAGAGACAATGCAAGCGTTTGGGGTAATGAGGTACAAGATATTGAAAAGGCTCTTTCCTTAAAAGAGTTAAGCCCCAAGGAAACATTGAAGGTAGTGAATTTAGTTCAGGAATCAAAACCTGCAGAGGTCAAGAAACCTGAGCTAAAACCTCTCCCTTCTCATTTGAAATATATTTTTCTTGATGAACAGGAACTATACCCCGTGATCATCAGTACTGCACTTACTGACCTAAAAACTTCCCAACTTCTAGGGGTTCTCAAAACCCATAAGAAAGCTATTGGGTACAGTATTGATGATCTTAAGGGTATTAGCCCAGATTTTTGTATGCACAGGATACATCTAGAGGACAACTATAAGCCCTGCATTCAACCCCAACGAAGATTAAATCCCAACATGCAGGTAGTCAAGAAGGAGGTTATGAAATCACTTGATGCGGGTATTATCTATCCTATTTCTGACTCCAAATGGGTAAGACTTGTGCAGGTAGTGCCAAAAAAAGGTGGGATGACTGTGATAACAAATGAAAAAAACGAATTAATTCCCACTAGAACTGTAACAGGGTGGCGTATGTGCATTGATTATCATAGATTAAATATCGCCACTAAAAAGGACCACTTCCCTCTTCCCTTTATAGATCAAATGCTTGAGAGGTTAGCTAATCATAAATTCTTTTGCTATTTGGATGGGTATTCGGGATTTTTCCAAATTCTGATTCACCTTGAAGATCAAGAGAAGACTACTTTTACATGCCCCTATGGCACTTTTGCATATCGTAGAATGCCCTTTGGTTTATGTAATGCACCCGCGACCTTTCAACGTTGTATGATGAGCATTTTTTCTGATTTCATAGAGTCTATTATGGAAGTCTTTATAGATGATTTTACCGTGTATGGTTCTTCGTTTGTGTAGACACCCATTTGTGTCTCCCCAAAACCAAACCCGGTGATGAGTACCTTTCACGTTGAATCATAATCGAATGAAACGAAAGTGTGGAAAGGTCTGGTGTTGTGGAAAGGTCTGGTGTTGCGGAAAGTTTTAATTCTTTTCTCTTCTCTTTGTTTTTGAAAACTTTATTTTAAGAAAACAGCCAATCCAGATTGGTTGGTCCATGATATGAGTCCAATAGTGGTGTAGTTGGATGGGGTTTGCAAAGACCTTTCCAACGATATATTATAAGCCCAATTCCGATGAATATTGAGGAAGTTATGGCCAATTTACTAAACTGTGCCCGGTTTGAGCTTTAAGTACGGCCCAATGATCTAGGGGAGGGCCTAATATGATTTATCATTCCTAATGTAATTAGGAATGGTTTTGGTCTTCTAGAACATTGTAGAAGGTCTTATCATTCTTAATTCAATTAGGATTCTTCAGAGTTTTAATTAGATCAAATAGCATTTTTGACTGAAATTATATTATTTTATCTTCCAGTACGGGAAATTTATCAGATTTTCGAAAACGCGTTGAAATCCAATTTGGCGTCCAACCCCAGGCCTTGGCGCCCGGAATCAGGATTGGCGCCAGACGCCAGCCATTGGCGTGTGGCGCTAGCCACTGGTCCTGGCGCCAATGAGCCAGGGCTGGCGCCAAGGTGATTTTGCGATCTTCAGACTCTGTTTTGATAAATTATCTTTTTTGGATGATTTTCTCTATAAATATCGTATTTAAAACTCCGTTTTCATTCACCAATGATGAATATTCATTGACCAATAATCAACTTTTTTCATTCACAAAATCGTTCATCAATTCTTTTCATCATCTTCATCTCTTTCATCATTAATTCTTAACATTCATTTTTTCTTACTTTGCTTTTAAATATAAAATTCCGTATTCACAAGATCTAGAAACACCTAGCCATATTCGAAGTTGCCTTCGCCCTAGACGTGAAAGGTTTTAATTTCTGAGGGTTTGGTCCCAAATCTCTCTTTCAATTATTTAATTTAATTGTTTTGATTATTATTTTCCTTGAAGTTACTAACGTGTGTATTTTGTTATTAGAAAGAGGTACGAGGCATCCAAGTAAGTACTTTAATGGTTTAATTGATTTATGATGTAGAATTCATGCTTAGATCGTTATTTTAATTCCTAGTATCATGTCTAGGGTAACTTTTATATCAAGTATGATTAAAAGAACGATGCTTCCTATATTTTTCCTAATATTTATGATTTTTAGTATCATGTTAGGGCTAAAGATTTGATTTTTATTGCTTAGTGACATGCAAGGGTTTGTTATTAATCTTGTTTGTATCATGCCTATGATCTTGCTATGCTTTAACATGATTATGATTATGATTGATATTATTGTTATTAATGATGTTGATTATTTATTATGTTTCTTGATATTTTTTTATTGTTATTGCTTGATCACCTTTTTATTGCATGTTTAAAGGGAATTGGTATTTGCAATCACGCTTAATAAGATAATTAATAATCTTGTTTAGGGTTAATTGTGATTGTAATTTCAAGTGATCGCCAATAATAGTTTATTTGTGCATTAATATTCAACCAACATAGTTTAAACAGGTTTAGGGTTAACCTATTGATTGTATGTTAATCAGAAAGCGCACATGAATACGATTAGAATAAAGTAGAGGCCTATTATTAGGGCAGGTTCAATCTCTTTTAGGTTGGATTTGTACCATCATCCCCGGACCCTTATTTGGTTCATGACCTTATGCAGTTGACGATCTCTTGGATCGTTAAGGGGTGTAACCTTCACCTCGTGAACGGTTTACAAGTTCCTTAAAAACTTGTTGGCGACTCTTTTGCTCTATCTTCTTCCCTTTTGGACGCCACCGTACTTTAGTGTATGATCACAGTGGGGTTCAAGCTAGTGGGATTTTTAAAGGCTTGAAATTATTCCCTACAGTTTGATTCATGTTTAATTAATCTTGCTAAAATTTTGAAAAGATGTGAAGAGTGCAATTTAGTTCTAAATTGGGAAAAATGTCACTTTATGGTGACAGAGGGAGTAGTTCTAGGTCATATTGTATCTGATAAGGGCATACAAGTAGACAAAGCTAAGAAATCAGTGATTGAGAAATTACCTCCCCCAGTTAATGTTAAGGGAGTTAGAAGTTTCTTGGGTCATGTGGGGTTTTATCGCCGTTTTATCAAAGATTTTTCTAAAATTGCTAAACCACTGACTCAGCTTCTGCTCAAGGATGCTCCTTTTATTTTTACTGACGAGTGTCTTAAGGCTTTCAACAGGATTAAGCAGGCTTTGATATCGGCACCCATCATATGTGCTTCCGATTGGAACCTTCCTTTCGAGATCATGTGTGATGCAAGTGACTTTGCGCTAGGAGTCGTGCTTGGACAGAGAAAGGACAAGGTTTTGCATGCTATTTATTATGCAAGCAAAACTTTGGATGAATCTCAAGTCAACTATGCCACTACAGAAAAGGAGTTTCTTGTTGTTATTTATGCTTTAGAAAAATTTAGATCATATCTTGTTGGTTCTAAAGTTATTGTTTTTACTGACCATGAAACATTGAAGTACTTGATAGCTAAGGCATAATCAAAGCCAAGGCTACTCCGATGGGTTCTTCTGCTCCAAGAATTCAACATTGAAATAAAAGATAAAAAGGGAGTAGAGAACGTAGTGGCAGACCACTTGTCACGAATCAGGTATGATGAGGGTAAGGATTCTCTTCCTATAGATGATTCATTCCCTGATGACAACATGTATGCAGTTGTAGAGTAACACCCTTGGTATGCGGACTTTTCTAATTATTTAGTGGGTGGTACTCTACCTCCTGACTTGTCCTACCAACAGAAAAAGAAATTCCTTTCTGATGTTAAACATTATTTTTGGGATGATCCTTTTTTGTTTCGTGAGTGTGCAGATGGATTATTTCGCAGGTGTGTTCCCGAATGAGAAGTTCATGGCGTTCTTACCATTTGTTATACTTCACCTTATGGAGGACATCATGGCCCCACTAAAACGGTGACTAAGATTAATGAGTCAGGCTTCTATTGGCCCACTATGTTTAAGGATGCTAACACTTTTGTGCAGGCTTGTGACTCTTGTCGGAGGTCTGGCAACATTTTGCGGAGGCATGAGATGCCCCAAACCGGGATTCTTGAAGTAGAAATATTCGATGTTCAGGGTATTGATTATATGGGGCCGTTCCCATCTTCCAATGGGAATTGCTACATACTCGTAGCCGTCGATTATGTGTCCAAGTGGGTTGAGGCCATAGCTTCACCAACAAACGATGCCAAGGTAGTCATCAAGCTCTTCAAGAAGATCATATTTCCGAGGTTTGGTTTTCCACGGGCTATTATTAGTGATGGAGGTACTCACTTCCATGAAAGACAATTGGATAACCTCCTTAAGAAGTATGGTGTATATCATAGAACCGGGCTTAGTTACCACCCTCAAACTAGTGGTCAAGTTGAGGTCTCTAATAGGGAAATCAAGGCGATTCTAGAAAAGGTAGTAGCCAAGTCAAGGAAAGATTGGAGTATGAAGCTTGATGACACACTTTGGGCATACCGAACGGCATTCAAGACACCAATTGGTACTTCGCCTTATAGATTAGTTTATGGTAAGGCATGTCATCTTCCCGTGGAGTTGGAGTAAAAAGCTTTTTGGGCGATCAAGGAGCTTAACATGGATTCTAAGATCGTACGTAAGAGAAGACTCCTCCAACTCAATGAGTTAGATGAGTTTAGATTGTCGGCATATGATAATGTGCGGATCTACAAGGAGAAGACCAAGAAGTGGCATGACAAGAGGATCTTACCAAGAGAGTTTGCACCGAGTGATAAGGTTCTTCTCTTCAATTCTAGATTAAAGATTTTCCCAGGAAAGTTGAAGTCTAGGTAGTAAGGGTGAACAAATTTGGTTCGGTAGAGTTGGTCAATGACAAGGGTGAAGAGTTTAAGGTAAATGGCCAATGATTGAAAGTGTATCATGAGGGCGCTACTAGTAGAGATGTGGTGGAAACCCTCCTAACTCCACTTCCAACCTGAGCAACAAGGTGGTAAGAAGGTCGTGCGGGACCTAGATAAACCAGCGCTTTGCGGGAGGCAACCCGTATTTCTTGCTTTCTAGACTAGTTTTCCTTTTTATTTATTTTTATTTTTATTTTAGAGAGGCGAGGAGAGTGAAATTTTACCTTTTATAAGTGTTTTTGTACAGGTATAGATTTGAGAGGTAAAGAGACTTAGAAAAATTTGAAGACGAAAAGAAATCGAAGAAGAAGCCAAGAGAATCCGACTGGGTACGGGCCCGATCGGGTGGAGCTCGCCCTATCGGGCGCGAAAGCGAGGAAAATTTCAACTCTTAATTCGCCCGATCAGGCGAGGCTTTCCCGATCGGGTGCGCAACTGGAGTTGGAATTGGATCTCAATTTGCCCGATCGGGCGAGGGTTGCCCGATCGGGCGCGCAACTAGAGTTGGAATTTGGAGCTTAATTCGCCCGATCGGGCGAGGCTTGCCCGATCGAGCGCATTTTTGAGGAAAATTGAGTGAAGGAAAAGATATGTCGGGCAAAGCTCGCCCGACCGGGCGAGTAAAAAGGCGAAATCTAACTTCGTATTCGCGCCCGATCGGGCGCGCAACCAGACATCGTCCCTTTTATTTCTTTCCCTTATTTCTTTCCTCACTTTCTTCTTCTTCCATCTTCTTCATTACTACTTTCTCTCTCTAAAACCTCCATTTTTTTACACCTTTAAACTCCCTTATTTTCAAGATCTCCTCCATTTCTTCCATCAAAACTCAAATATTTTTATATCCTTTCATCTTTCTCTACAATCTACACCAAATTTCTACCACTTTTTCTCAATTTTCACAAAACCCTAAGAGAGAGAAAGCTTTAATTCCTACCATTTCTCATCAAAAATGGCTCTCAAAAGATCTAGGACCATAAGGGAGGAAAGATCAAGGCAACAAGCGCCTAGGATTGACCCGGAGTTGCAATTTCCGGGATGGGAGAGGGTGGTCATCACCACCCAAGAGAAAAGGCAAAGGATGATCAATCTCACGTCAAGGCAAGTAATTCCTACACGCTTTGTTCATCACCCCACCCTTGCTAGATTAGGAATTGATAAACCCGTAGAAAAATTGTTTAAAGGAATTGACATGAGTGGTTTGTTTAACTTGCACTATGATACTTATGATTATTTGACCTTGGAATTTATTTCTAGTTTTAATGTCATAAAATCTAATGCTTTGATTACTCATGTTAAATTTAGATTGCTTAATAATGATGTTAGATTGTCTTTGAAAGAATTTGGCAAATTATTTGAGTTAAAATCGGATAGACCAATCGAACCTCCTCAAGACAACATTGTTGTTGTCTATCAATCCCTTACGGGGGATGCCAACTTGAACCTCCAACATGCCAAGGGCACTTGGATACAACATCCCGTGCCAAAGTTTTGGCAACGGTTTGTTGGCCTTACCATCTTTGGGAGGCATGAACCCGCCAATGTTAGGAGGGATGAACTAGAATTGTTAGGGTCATACATGATACCTAGGAGTGATAAGCTCAACATTGTCCATAAGATGGCCCAACACTTTCAAAGGGTGGCCAATGCGGCCGAGGTGGGTAGGTCTAGGGAACCCATTTATTTTGGTGGTCTAGTCACTCACATAGCGGTCAAACACCTTAATTTTTTCCCTAACAACGAAGGGAAGGTAGCCGGCCCATCAATTATGGACCTACCCTATTTAGGTGGCCTAAATTGGATAAATGTCATAGGAGGTGAAACTTGGTGGATGATTCAAAGGGAATCAGGTAGAAGGGACAATGCTTTTACTTTGCCTAACCCGGTTTTGACCAAGTTTGAGAAGGGTCTACCTTCTTACACCTTCGACTTAGGCAACCAAGGTGAGGCCCAAGCGTCTCACCAAGCACCACCCTCACCACAACCTCAATTTCACCAACCATCACCCCAACCCTACACATACGACATTCCCACTTCCTCAACCAACTACAACATTGACCCCAACGCCCCTTATGACTTTTCGGCTTTTAGGAGCTAATTGGATAGGATTGAGGTGGGGCAAGGGAGAGTCGAGAGTATGGTTAGGAACTTGGACACTAGAGTTGGGTCTCTAGATAGACGGGTGGGGTATGTGAAGATGAACGTCGGGAGGGGTTTCTAGCCATGGAGGGGGCTATTCGAGGATGGACAAGGATGAGGAGTAGGCTACACTCCCAAGTCAATGAGGGCATTACTTGATTTGGCTTGGGGGGGGTGATATTTCGCTTGGTAATTCTCTTCCTTTTCTCTTTTTATTTGCTTTCTAGTATAGTTTTTATTTGCTTGATTGCTTTCCTTTATGAGAAAAATACAAAAAATTGAAAAAAAAATTCAAAAATATGTTCCAATGAATTGTAAATCATGCTTCCATGTGCCCCTTACTTGAGAAAATTTGTTTTGATTCTTGGTTATTGATAATGAGCATTGTGGATTTGTTGGTCATGATTTGAAGTTTAATTGTTTGGATTCCTAAACATGCGTCAATTTTTCCAACTATTTGTGAATATAGTGCTTGACTAGTTGATTTGGTTAGGAATGTGTGATAGTTCCATAGTTCCTGGTATGTCAATGAATTTGAGTATTGGTTTGCAACTATGAGTAGTGTTTCATGACTTATAATTATGAACATGAGGAGGACGAAGGCGTTCATTCTTTTAGGTAGCCTTCAGAGTATTTAGATACATTTGTTCCCTTCTTGTTACCCATGTTGTTGCTTGTGCCCTTTTATTGTTTATTTAGCCACATTACAAGCCTATATGAGTCCCATTGGTTACTAGTCCCAAGCTTGGCTTGGGGGAGCTATTAATTGTGAGGTGAGGGAGTTGTAGTGTGCACATTATTTGCACAATGTGAGAATAAAAGAAGAGTGTTTGTTCTTTGATTTTATGATTGGAAAATATTGATATGTTGTGTTACAAAGTTGAAATTTCCAACATGAGTTAAAAAGAAAAAAAAAAAGGAGCAAAAGGAAACATTTTTAATGTTCAAATGTTCAAGAAGAAAAAAAAAGAAAAAAATTCAAGTTTGAAAAGAAAAAAAAAAAGAGAATGAGTTCAAAGTTTGTATTTCACTCAAGTTCTACATTATCATATTTTATGAGTGAATTTTGTAAGTAATGGGTTTGTTTATGTTTATTTGAGTTGTATTTGGTGGTTCTTGTTGGAGTTAGTTATGTTGTTGGAGATGTATGATCATCATTTATTTTTTATCATGGGTTTATTAGGATTTGGCTCCCTTAATGCATAGCTTTTCTCTCACATATTCCCAAATTTATCCTACCCTTTACCCTAGCCTTACATTACAAGCTTTAAAGACCTTCCGACCTTGTGCATAGAGTTGTGTAAATGTGAAAGTGTTGTTTATCAATGCAAGTTATGAGTTGACATATTTTGAGTCGACTAGTAGGTTGAGCGTTCATTGTTTTAAACACACGAGAGTGTGAGATGGGTGGGCATTGTTTACAAGTAAAGGGGTTGGTTGGAGAGCGATCGAGTACATCTTTTACTCGCCACATAAATGAGAGCTGAGTGTGTGAGCACTAGTCTTGTATGACATTAATTCACAAAGTTTAACCAAAGACGAGAGACAAAATACTGCTAAGAAGAGGTAGCATGATTTTTTATATATATTTTTAAATTGTCAAAATAGAAATGACTCAATGTCTTAATTCAATACACCGACATAAAAGTATTGATTATTATTTTTTTGGTGTTTTTTACCTGATTCACCCTTTAAGCTAATTCGGAATCGGGCTTAATTATAGGTGGTTAAGTTCTTGTCCCCTACTAATTATTATTGTGAGAATCAAACAGATCAAATCCTCCCTACCAATACAACCCCAATCACCATTATCTATTGCACCAACAACAAATTAGTTAAAGTCTTGAATTATTATGACTATCAACATTTTCAGGAAACATGTAAATTACATAATCAGATGTTAATCCCAATAAAATTTTTCTTCGTCAAACTTTTCGTTTTATACGGTGTGCCCCCTTTTTGGGAAATCCACACTATAAACCAAAATACGTTTAGTTTCTGTAGGGTAATCTTCTCATTATATCTCGCCGTTAACAATGGGGCCCACCCTCTAGTCTTCTACATACTATTATTCTTATTATTGATTTGTACGTTGGAAATAGTTCCATTAAAGGTGATGACAAAAGTCATAAGAGGTGCAGATTAGAGAGAGAGAGAGAGAGAGAGAGAGAGAGAAGGGAGCGCTGATTTCGTTAATTTCAGTGAGCTGCAAAAGTAATGTTTGTTATATATACAAGCTTATCAAGCACAACGGTAAAAAAAGATAAGGACAGAGGAATAATCAAAAGGACAATCCACATTCTAAATGACAGATTGTAGCTTACAACACTCACAACAAGACAGAAATAAAGGAATAAAAGAAATAGCTACGAAGCTTCCCTCTCATCACTCCCCCTCAAGCTTGGTGTGCAGAGTAACTCCAAGCTTGCTCAAGAGGTATTCATGTTGTTGCACTAGCAAGATCTTGGTAAAGTGTCATCTAGTTTATCTGAACTGCAGACATATGTTGGCTTCACTACTCCTTCTTGAACTTTCTCTCTCACAAAATGTTGGTCAATTTCAACATTTTTGGTCTTTTCATGCAGCACAAGGCTGGAGGCAATGGACAGAGTAGCTTTGTTGTCACATTTCAGAATTGTGGGACCTAGATTTTTCATTCCCAAATCCTTCAGAAGAGATGTTAACCTGGTTACTTCACATATAGTCAGTGACATTACTCTGCACTCTGCTTCAGCAGAAGATCTAGCTACAACTGACTATTTCTTTGCCTTCCAGGACACTGGTGAATCACCTAGAAGAATGCAGTACCCTGTTGTCGATCTCCTTGTGACAGGACAACCTGCCAGTCACTGTCACAGTAAGTAGTGAGTTTTGCTGCTGTTTCACTGGCTAGGAGAATTCCTTTGCTGGGAGAGTTCATCAGATATCTCAGCACTCTCTTGGCTGCTTGCAGGTGAACAGTGGTTGGAGCTTGCATAAATTGAGCCATGACTTGCACAGAAAAGTTGATGTCAGGTTTGGTTATGGTCAGATACAAGAGTTTTCCTACCAATCTTTGGTATACTTCAGCATTTGGTAAAGGATCACCCAAGTTAGGTGTGAATTTGATGTGTGTATCTATAGGAATCTTCAATGGTCTAGCTTTAGCAAGCACAAATTCTCTAATCATGTCCTGAGCATACTTTCTCTGAGATATAAATATCCTTGACACTGAGGGATCAATCTCTAGACCCATAAAGTACTTAAGTTTTCCAACATCCTTCATTTTGAAATTTTTAGAGAGCAAGGCCTTCAGATTGTCAATTTCTTGCTGATTGTTACCAGCAATCAACAAATCATCAACATAGATTAAGACATCAACAAAACGTCCACCTAATTGTTTAGTGAATAGAGAGTAGTCTGCTTTGGATTGAGAATAGCCAAATGATTTCAAGGCCTTTGTAAGCTTGGCAAACCATTGATGAGGAGCCTATTTGAGCCCATACAGGGATTTGTTTAGCTTGAGCACATGATTTTCTGAAAGCTCCTCCTGCTCCAAGCTTATAGGCATTCCTGGTCCCACATAGCCCCTTGGAACCTTCATGTATACATCTTCAATCAGATCTCCATGGAGAAAAGCATTTTTTACATCCATCTGGGTTGTGATCCACCCTTGCATTGCTGCTACAGCAAGCAATGACCTAACAGTGATCATTTTAGCAACTAGGGCAAAGGTTTGATCAAAGTCAATCCCTGGTTTCTGTCTGCAACCAAGGATGACTAGCCTGGCTTTCTTCCTTTCCATAGTACCATCTAGATTCAGTTTGGTTTTGTACAACCATTTAACTCCTATTGCTTTCTTCCCAAATGGAAGTTGTGTCAATTCCCATGTACCATTTACTTCAAGAGCTGCCAGTTCTTCATTCATAGCTGCTATTCACTCTGGATTTTTCTTTGCTTAATCAAATGAAGTGGGGTCTGTCTCATTGGACACACTTGCTAGGAAACACCAGAACTCTAAAGATGCACCAGTATTTCCTTCAGTTGCAACACACACTGGTTGAAATTTGGCTGCACATGCCAGCTTTTTGTAATCTTTCATCCACACATTGTAACTCCCCAATAATTCTCCCATTTCCAAACCACTTACTTTAAATAAAAATAGAGGAGAACCATTGGCATGTTACCGCCACGTGTTAAACGTTAAGGCTTTATCAAAGTATTGCAGCGGAAATCCAACTTAAATCTTAAAATAATATAATTTAGAAAACCAATAAGTCAAAGCTTACAAATTGGAACCATAAAGGCCCTTATTTAAAACCAAACCAATAATTAAAGTCCCAAAACATAATTAAAGTAGTAAAACATAAATAAGTTCAACACAAAGAACGAATACTTTCAATCACACCAATCCGTTGACAATGCGTATATCAAATCACCGAACTTCACATCATCAAGCTAACCTGTGCAATGCTGCTCCCGAATAGTACAAGTGTAATAATTGGATCATCACAGGGTCATTGAAAGGCGAAGACCATGACCAAAAGAAAACACACAAAAGCATGCAATCAGCAAAGCTGAGTACATACAAGCTACAACGCACAAAACCTAGCATGCTCAATTAATTAGAATAAATAAACATATAACACAAATTAATTAATCAAGACACCACACTTACACAATTCAGTTGACTCAACATACTTCTGACCATTTCCAAACACCCGACTCTTTATATTTAATATAATTAATTTAGTTTGGAGTAAGCAACAGACGAGGTTGTCCAATCCACCAAATAATTTTGGTCCCAAATGACCATTTAAAATAAAAGTTTAGTGCGATGCAAGAATGGGCGCGACTCCATTCTCACAAAGTTAGTCTAGGATCCCATCTAACTTTCATTATAAAATAAAATGTAAATACCAAAAGAAAAGAGGACATGTTGATCAAACAAGCCTCGGAAAGCCACGGGCTACCACCGTGTACCCCAACCCATAATTGTCAATACTCTAGAAGTGCACGCTTTCTAGAGTTTTATTGCTCATCCATGTTTCACTTTACGTGATTACAATTTTAATTAATAGCCGACTCAATACAATAAACCATACATAAAAATCATACATCAATTTACTTTTAATCTTATTTAGGACAATGGTGATCACATCACAAATTGACCTTTAATTTCATTAAACTTCCAAATTATCCAAATTGTTGAACATAGTCAACTCACCTAGCCATTTTAGCTTAATTCACCTTTACTCAACATACTAAAAATTCATGATTGAGTAATAAAATAAATAACAACCTTGTGGAATAATTAATAAATTCATTCCACTTAAACCATTCAATTTCAATCCTTTAATAATCCAAATGTGGTTAACAAACCGATCCAATAAAAATATGCTTGTATCAACATTCCATATAAACAATTAATCCAATATAATTCAACATGTTTGCATCCATAATTCCATACAAACATAATCAATTCACCAAAACATGTCTCATAAACATAAGCACATGAATTAATTAAATGTATAACCAAACAATTTTCATCCAAGTGTTCTCTAATCATGAAGCTAAGTTCTTTTATTTGGTACCTAAACATGATACTACTTACAACGAAGTAGACATGTACGTACCTCGTATAAACAATCCTTTGTGCCACTTTTAATCACTTAAAAGTCTCCTAAGAAATAATCACTTTCTTGAAAACAAGCAACAATAATAAATTAATACTTAACCAAATTTCCAGCAATATATTTAGATTAAAACTCCTTAAAACTTCATTAAAAATATGTTTTTATACTTAATTAATTATTAGAAATACAATAGGAAGAAAAGCCCCAAATTAATTGATCATAAGTACCCTAAAATCCCAATTTAAACAAATTGAAACCATAGGTTTCATAATTACAAAACCTGAAAAATTATACCAACATCAATAATCTAAAAATATCAATTTAAACACCCAAAATATAATTTTTCATACTAATAAAACTAATTTCAAACAATAAAATCAAAACCCAAAACAATTTCATAAACATTAAACAAATTAAATAAGTAATATAAGAGAGAGAAGAGACAGGGTGGTGGTTGGGCCATGTGGTTGGACCGCGTGGGTCGTCGGCGGCCAGCAGGGGTGGCGCGCCGACAGCAGGGGGGCGCCAGAGGTGGCTGACGGTTGTGGTTGTGAGCGTGAGTGAAACTCACGTAAGGAGGAGAAAGAAGAAAGAAAAGGAAAGAAAAGAAAATAAAAGGAAAAAGAAAAATAAAAATAAAAGGAAAATAAGAAAATAAAATAAAGAGGAGAGAAAATAAGACTAACCTTTAGTGTGGGAAAATTTTTGGGGATGTATGGGGTATTCATAGGAGAGTGGTGTAGGGCAAGTTGTAAGATTGGGCCTCATAAAATTAGTGGGCCAATTAAATATGTAAAGTGAGATTGGCTTTGATTGTTTGGACATGAATTATAGAATGAAGGTATGTATAAAAATTTGTACCAAAATAATTTTCAACCCAAAGTTAAAAATTAAAAATTTTGAAATTAAATTCCGGAAAAATAAAAATAAATATTATAAATAATATAAAATTTCATTTATAATATATTTAAAAATATGGGGGATTACACACAGGCTCTTCTGTGGGCCTGTTTGATCTTCTGATCACAGGTTCAGGAGCTGTGAAGTGTTCTGGAGATGCTGCTGGAGAGCTAGTAACATATTCTGCAGTGTCATAGGTTGTATTGGTGTTCTGAGCATCATTGCTTGCAATCTATATAGGTGACAGATCTTCATACCGTAGGTGAGAAGGTGGCTGAGGTGTGTTTGTAGGTACAGGTTGCAAGATGCAAGATGCTGTTGAGGGTTGCATTATTGTAAGGAAATATGTGTTCATGAAACTTCACATCTCTTGACACAGTTCTCTTTTGTGAGCAAGTTCATGAGCACATATCCCTTGGTGTTTGGTGGATAACCTAAGAAGATACTGGGCACACCCCTTGGGATAAGTTTATCAATTTTGAGAGCTGGATTATAGGCAAATGAGAGACATCCAAAGACCCTCATCTCATCATAGGCTGGGGTTTTTTGTGAAGCTTTTAGTAAGATGTTTGGTTGGTTAGGATAGGAGTGGGCAGCCTATTGATTATATAAGCAGCAACAAGAATGCAATCACCCCAAAAAGTCAAAGGAAGGCCAGCTTGAAACCTAATAGCTCTAGTGATTTCAAGTAAATGTTTGTTCTTTCTCTCATCCCTCCCATTTTGTTAAGGTCTCTCAACACATGAGGTTTGGTGTACTATTCCATGGGCAGCAAATAGAGGGTTTGCCTTTGTGTCATTAAGTTCAAGGGCATTATCAGACCTCACAACCTTAACCTTCCTACCAAACTGAGTGCTTGCATATTTCACAAAGGTTTCCAGAATATTCAAGCATTGAGATTTCTCTTGCAATATATACAAGCCTATCAAGCACAACGGTAAAAAAAGAGTATTGAGATCTTGATTGAATCGGACACCGAAGCGTGAATCCACCCTGTAATAGTGGAGTTACAGGTGTCCCACAGCTCCGTTTTCATTGAGTCATCGGCTGGGCGACTCACCGTCCCTGTTACAAACCCAAGTTTGCGTTTTGAGGACAGAGAAATTTCCATCGACCTTCGCCATGTCCAATAA